AGTTTAGGAAGAGGGTGTGTGTGTGGGGGGGGGTGTGAGTGAGAGAAAGAGAGAGACACACAGAGAGAACGAGAGAGAGACAGTGTGTGTATGTGTGTGTGTGTGTGTGTGTGTGTGTGTGTGTGTGTGTGTGTGTGTGTCTGCCAGTAAAAATGCCAAATGTTTTTTTTTCTCGAGGGCTTCCTCAAAAGACTGTGAAGGAAGCTATATAATTATATAGGTCGAGAGGTTAAACATTTAAGATATATAAAAAATCAATGTTGACGTATCACATGGTCTGACTAAGCATTATTATGTGAGTATAGTTTTCACATGCCATACATGGATTCACTTAGACTTTTCCTATGCTAGACTTTCTTGCCCTTCTCCCTTTTCCTTTCTTGTTTACTCTTATTTACTGATCCATGTTTTCCATTTTTAGAAAGAATTCTCTGGTTGTGTAGGCCGACTCATACAGTCGAACTTGTCTTGGACGACCACTCATTGTCGAAGAAAAAAGTGGTTATCTCGTGGTCATCTTGCACAATTTCTTTACAGTATTTTTCTTTGTAGGCGGTTGGTGGGTGCTCTGGTGTGGTTTAAATTTGCTCCTTCTTTCCTGTCAAACATTTATCGTCTTTATCTTTTATCCTTTTTTGTGTGTATTTTACTCTCTTGTAACACATCTATTCTTCCGCATTTATATGACCTCATTGTGTTGCAAGAGCGGTAAAACTCTTGCTAAAACTAAAAAATATTTTCTTTCTTTCAAAAACGTAGGGGTGGGGAGAGGGGGGGGGGGTTCAGGTGTTGTTTGTACAGATGATTTTCTTGGACAAGTGCTCGTTAGAGAAGGTTTGATTTTTCTCCTAAAAATAGACAAACAAATAAGTGAAACTGTTTACTCATCAGTTCATTTCGAGCATGTTAGCTTAATTTCTTGTTATCCGGTTCAAGGAAATCGGGTACCTTCCCAGCCCTGATCAGACATCCCGCCTTTCCGCCACGCAGGACACGATGAACGTGGCCAATTTGTAAATTGTGCCTGTTGTTGAGGGAAGAGCT